GGATCTGCTTCATGGAAGCAAAAGGGTTTTTGGAGTTCTTTGTTTGTTTCATTTTGATTTTAAGATAGATGTATACTTAATTGTTATAGACTCTCAGAAATCACCAGTTGGATTCCCAGCAGCTTTAGGAAGCTGTCTAGTTTAACACAGGCTGTAACTCATCTCATTTTAGCCTCCTTTTTGTAGTTGAACCAGAGAAGTTAGAGCCCAGGCTGCCTCTCCGGCTTTTTATGTATGATATAGCATTTGTCAATATTAAATTTAATGTGTGCTAAGAGCAGCTTGCTAACAGTGAGAACACAAAGCTTGCTGAACTTCACTTTGTCTGTGTGTTCAGTACAGCCAACATTAACAAACCTAATGAATTCAGCTACATTATCCTACCCAAATCTAGGTCAGTTCTGTTGATTAAAAATGTTACAGGTTTGAGGACTGACCCTGTAAAAACTCACTTAAAATTTAACTACTTCATCACTTTTTCTGTCTCCTATACTTCTCAAATGGAAGAATATATACCAATTACCAATCCAATGGGCCACCATTAAGAGGTCATCATCAACAACAGACATTTATTGAGCGCCTACTGGGTGCAAGGCACTGTACTAGGCAGGGGGCTACAAAGACAAAGGAAAAACAGTCCCTGCTCTCAAAGAGCTTACAATCTAAAGAGACTAACAGGACACATACATAAAGAGACAAGGACAATTCAAGGTAGCATATAATATTAGGGCACTGAGTAAAAACAAACACAATCACAGCCTTTTTTTGCTTTTCTATGGCGGCTCAATACCCTGAGTAGGTAGGGATGAGTGGGCTAGAATAGAGGGCTTCCTCCTGCTCGTTTTTTAAGCCTATAGACCCTCTCTCATCTCTTTCCACTCCAAAGTATTTTCTGGATATCCTAGAACCTAGGTAGCGGATTCACTTTTCCCCCCAAGGCCTAAGTATTATAGTACTCTTTGAAGTGGCCTTCTGATAAGGTGACCCACTGTCCCAGTTTGCCTGGGACTTGTCCTAGTTTTAGCACAGAAAATCTGTCCTGAAACTCCTCCCCTCCCTACTTCCTCCAGCCTGGGGGAGACCAGGATGGTACTTCTGAAGTACCCAGTCCCATAGCCAGATGTAGTCGTCCCACCTGCGATGGTCATTGCCTGGCAGGGCCTACCCTGAATCTGGTCCCCAAGTAGGTCTCTAGTTTAAAAACCTACAAGGAATACCTTAACAGCCTCCAAAGACTGCTGGCTTAAGAGCCCAGTGTAAACAAAAGAAGACAATCAGGAGAGAATGACAGCAGAAAGATGGAACTGAGGTTCAAGAGAGAAGCAGGGAGGATGGAAGGAATCACTGGATCAGGTATGACATATGACATATGTTAGAAGATCACCTCCTAACACTGTAGAGAGCATAGGGATCTCAACGTAAATCTATGTAATACTCTGAATCTTCACTCCAGTGGAATTCAGAGTATATTTCCAAAATGAGGTCACTCCTACATAAGGGCAAATATTTGTGTGGGTGTTAAACAGGTACCTCTGTATTCAAATCACAGTGCATTAATCCTGACCGAATTCCAATGTGTTCCTTTCACTTGTACCTACCATTCATTTAGCTTCCAAGTCAATAATTTTAACTTTTGAGGTGAGTTCTTATTTCAGAATGAGGTTATATCCTTCAATTTTAATGTAATTAAAATAGATCAGTAATGGAGACTATTTCAGCAAACAAAGGTAATCTGTCTTGAGAGGCATTGTTTGGAATCTGATACACATACACATACCTGGCAGTAATTTAAGGATTCCAAGAGACCACACACAAATTTCTCTTTCAGGTGCAGTATTTTGTGTTTTGCTTTCATTTATTTTTTGAAGAAAAGCTCTCACTCTGAAGTCTTAGGACCTTGGAAGTTCCCGAATCGCTCTGGTTTTATGTCTAGCCCTTAGGTTAGCACATACCAGGGTTAGTGAAGCACAGGGACTTAGTTACCAAACACCCATTAACCATAATGGAAATCACACAGCAAAGTCCCCATGCAGCACACTGAATATTTACCTCCTAATGTTCTTTTAATGTACGCTTTCTTGGGTGAATATTTACTGTAGAATATTAAATGTAAGATTCCTCTTTTTATGGGCCATTTGAAGTGATTGATTTTGTTTGTGAATTCCTGAATCTTTGCCCATAATGGCTATCTATTGTAATGGCCTCTGCCAAATGTTCTTGCATTGAGATAACAGACGCCATGGATCGGCCAGCTGTGGCTTTGTATTATTGTGGTCTTAAAAGCTAGGAGGTAGCTGATGACACAGTTGGGAAAGAAGAAAAAGGTGTGTAACATAATGAGTCTGACTAAGGCTTCCAACACAAATGGATATTGAAATCACTGAGGTCTGTAAACATGGTTCTGTAGTCATCTTTTATATCAGAGCTGATGTTTAATGGTGCTGAATGGTGTTGAGACCCATAGTCACTAAATGACACTGGCAAGATAAGAATTCAATTGCCCACAGTCAGGACCATCAGCACAATCTATCAGAGTTCTAGGCATTTTCTTTAAATGCTATAATAAAAACCACTGCCCATGTGATAATTCTTGTACTTATTTATGCCATATTTTTAAAAATATAAATCCACATACATATCTTAGCTACGTTTAGATTTAAGCTATTGCCCCAGTGAAGCCAGGAATTTCAGAATTTGGTTGCTTTTCACTCTTTTGAGTATTTGGGAGGAAGAAGTTGCAAAAAAGATGGGAGTTATCAGATGGTCTTTAAAAAACAAACAAACAAACAAAAACCCAAAAAACAAATCCTAAAACCTAAAGATAACACAGGCATTTGAGATATTATTAGAGTAGGTAATACAGCTATATCTTCACATGTCCCAAGTATGCCTTTCCAAATTTCCATAAAAATAAAACTTGTTAAAGGAGCCCACTTACATCTGAACAACATAATGTCTTCAAGCGATGGTAAAGGTGGCCTATAAATCAATCATGAAATTCATGCTCTTTTTCATACGTTCACAAAGTATCGGGTGTTTAGAGTCCATGCTGCAGAAGGCTGTGCTGGAATAAAATTCTACAGTCTCTTTAAAAGCGATGAGAAAATTTAAAGGACACATACATTTCAATTGTACTGGCTTTTAACAGCTCAAGCTAGACCACAATAATACCAACTTTGTTTCTGCTGTATAAATATCTGGACTATGTCTGCATCTCAAGCACAGCACTCCATATAATTAATAGTACTAGTTAGTGCAAGGGAATGGAATCTTAGCAGTAATTAAGGAAAGGGAAAGGAAGTGGCAATGTGAGAAACCTTCTTTAATCACAGGTCAGGTCATGTTCTGTAAAACACTCTCAGTCCATATATAATACTTGCTGGTGCCTTCAAATCTAACATCGGAAAAGCTAATGCCTTCTAAGTCATGTGTAAAGAAAACACTGGTATATTTTTTAAAGACTATTTTTGAAGAATATCACCAGCTTAAACGAAGATCTTTCCTAGTAACTGATATCTTGGCCCTGAATAAAATAAGTCCTTCATACTCCTCCAGACCAGGGAATGGCTGTGAATATAATGTATGTAAGACTTGCAATGAGTGAATCTGAAGAGTTCACAGGATAAATGAGTCGTATGCTAGGGAATCTCCTTGTATTATCTTCTCACTGATTCAAAGACAGTTCCTTGTTCCTGGAGCCAGGGACCATGACAGTTCTCTGTCTTTCTCAGTTTTTTCCTTTTTTTTTTTTTTTTTTTTTTTTTTTTTTTTTTTTTTTTTTTTTTTTTTGTGGTGCAAAAAACACCAGAAAAGCAGGGGGGCAGTTTGTAGCCAATGGGGACCAGGAAGGAAGTTACGTTTTTAACCACAGAGGGACATAGATAGCAGGGGAATGAAAAGATCCCCTATAATCAGGCTTTTGCAACTGCAGAAGCCCCATCATTCCAAGTGCAAAGTCCTTAAATGAGTCAATGAGAGGCTCACAGAATGTTACATTTGGAAGGAAAAGTATGCGGTCGTCTGGTACAGGGACATCATTGTCAGACAAGAAAACGAGGGTTTTACGTCAGGTAACCTACATCAACTATTACTAAAGACAACTATCTTTAAGTTTCTTTTGTTAGTATTGTTTTGTTGTGATAACACAGTTTTTGGTTTTCAATTTTGTCATTTAGAACATTTCCTTATGTTAGAAAATGTCATGGCTATTCTTGAAGCCTAAGGGTTCAAAAAATACAATGCAACATTTCCAAGCCAATGGCATGCTAACAGTGAGCATCGTGAACACAGTCACTCGCCAACCCTATTCTAGGTGTTTTCCAACCATCATTCAGGATAAAAGAGTTAAGAAGGATAAATTACCACATAATCATAATCTATAAAAATACTGGCCTAGAGTGCACTAAAAAACTCTCAGTAAATAAATATTGGGCATTTGTTTTATGAAAGTCAGTGGAGATGTGCTCTTCAGAAATCATGTCCATACTTTCAGGCTGCTTTTTTTTTTTTTTTTTTTTTTTTTTTTTTTTTTTTTTTTTTTTTTTTTTACAAATCACACACACAGAGCCCAACAGATGACAAAGATTATAGATCAGGTTAGGATACAACTTGATAGAAAAATGTCTTTTGATGTGGTATTTCTATAAAGGAATACAACTAACATTGTTGAGTTGCTTGTGTTTCAGTTTTGAAGGCAATACTTAAGAGATCCAGAATGACTTTTAGCCATGGCAGCATCATTGAAATGAGTGGTTAGCTCCTAAGGTAACCCCTTTTGAAAGGGATGATACTCATTAGGACATATTAATTCTGGAATTTCTCCTTACAAACCAACTGCACTGCTTGGTAGTCATGCCTCAGAGGCATCTGTACATGTTGCTTCTGGAGGAGTTTCCTGCTCGCAGTTTTGTCCCTCTTTTGTGTCTAGTGGCTCAGAAAGTTCAGTGGCCTGGTGTCTGATACAGTACGTACTTGAGATTTCGGTCTGGCACACTCATTCCTCAGAACACGGGTTTATTCTCAGGATGATTCATAGCAAGCGATTCTGGTTTCCAGTTTGGTTGAAAGAAGTGAATGTTGAATGTCCGTGCCCAGTTCTTAAAGACGCGTTTCTCTGTGATAAAGCGGTGATGACTACCCTTCCGTCCTCGCTCGTGGGAGAGGTACATTGTACATTCATCAGGTCCAAAAGGTTCGTAATAGTGATAAGGTACTGAAGGGTGATTGGGGTCCCTGTAGGAGGAAAATGAGATAGCTGAACAGAGGGGAAAAGATTCCTTTGGCTGATTAAGCTGATAAGCACAACTCATATTTCCAAGTTAAATAAATTTCAATGAATAGTTTTTCTGAGATGTACACAGTAAGCAAGTGGAGAGGTTTTGGGGTTGTGAAATAAATGCGCTGACCGTCGTTATCAAACAGAGAGAGTAAAAGTATACCATAGGACCTTCAGGTTTTGGGTATTAAAAAATTATTTTAATGTTTATTTATTTTTGAGAGAGGGAGAACACAAGCAGGGGAAGGCAGAGAGAGCAGGAGACCTGGGAAAGTCTGGCCGGGCTCGGAGGCTCTGGGCTGTCAGCCTGGGAAGGAGCCGACCGGGAGGCTCAAACCTTGAGTGGCTGTGGGATCTTGGCTGAGCTGATTGGATGCTGCCAGTGAGGCCACCGTTTTTAAGGTTTGCAGGGTTAAAGAGAGGTGTGCCTAAGTTCACCTACTTCTACTCTTGCCCTGTAAAGTCTATATAGCATAAGCAGCTATTTACAAAACAAAAACACATCACATCACCTTCCCCATTCCACCCCTGCTAAATCCTCCAGAGGCTTCTAATTATCCTAAAAGCATGGCTTATAGGGTGTTAAGTGAGTTGGTTCTTCCCCAGAGTCTTCTCCTAACCCAGCCTTGCCCACTATGCTCCAGCCATACTGGTCTTTCTGGTCGTCAAGTTGGTCAACCTCGACCTTGAGGCCTTTGAATTTGAGGGCAGTCACATGGTGGTCATGTGCTCCTACCAGTTCACTCCTTCTTACCATTGGGCATCTACTTAAATGTATCCCCTGCAGAGAGGCATTACCTGACACCTGCCCCTTTGCTCCCTTTCAGTGAGATTGACTGTAAGCATTAATCACTCTCCAGAATTGCTGTTGTTTATACTTGTTTATTGTCTGTTCATGATGGCAGGCCTTTGTCTTGTTCCTAGTAGGTGCTCAATAAATAACTTTTGAATTTCTGGTGTTGAAAGACATGTATATGGAGTTAGCGGCTAAACAGCAAACCTCTAAAGACAACTTCTCCTCCAACATGGAAAGTTGATGATCCTAGTTTGAAAGACAGCAAACACGATGCCACAACTTTCCTCTTGTTCCTCTAGGTAGACGATGGACTCAAATCCAGAAATTCTAAATCCTTAATCCTTGCATTGAAAAAATGCCCAATATTTTTTCTGTGTCTCTATCCCTATTTCGCTCCAAATGAGAAACACTGGCTCATTTCTTCAAGGCAGTGGGCAAAGGATGAACATGTGGGGGTGGTTGGGTGCCCTGTTGTAGGTTACTAACACATCTAATCCCCAAAGAGCCCTGACCTCAGACTGGTTTCCATTCTAGTCTAGTCCACTCTACCTCTGCAGTCTTGAAGTCTAGATGATAAAATTAGTCAAGATATCCCAGCAGGGTAAACCTTTCTATCTTGAGCTACATTCACCAATTGGCTTTGTTGCAGAGCTTAGTGTTTCTCTTAAAAGGCCCAGGCAAACCACATTTCCATGCCTGGAGCCTTGGGGTCCCCACTCCAGTAACTCGGACTCTACTCTAACTTTGTTTCCCAGAGATGTTCATCCTGCTAGACACCTATTTGTTTTCTTCAGAGGAGATCAATACACAAATAGCTTCTAGAGTAGCAACTTTACTGAGGTCAGGGATCGAAGTCTTTTATCAAGAGGGGTGTCAAGTTCGTAGCTCTGACAACAATAAACCTTTTGAGCTGCCTCTCCTCTGAGGTTAAAGTTCTTCCAGGAAGTGAGATTTATTTTTGTCATGCAGTGTTTAAATGTTCCTCATCCTGGGTTGGATGCTATTCTGAATTAATGCTCTGCATCTCTATCATGCTCATCTCGAAGTATCTCTGCATTCTATAGTGAAACATCAGGTCCAAGCCTGTTTTGTTAATATAGATTTCCCTTATAAACTTACTACAGAAGCCCCTTAAAATTTAGTAGAAAGTATTTTCAGTCCCGAAAATACACTCTAGGAAGAATTCAAGTTGGAACTGACCACCACGAAGAAAAGAATAAACAACAAAAACCAGAAATTTGTCAGACAAATGTCCTCAGATTCGTATGGCATAATATGAGGAACCACACCAAATTCACTCTGCCATGGCATACTTTGGGTTAAGCTTTTATTCTGATATAAATCAGGTTTTAAACCTGATTTATCTACACTTTGAACATATTACTGGCATCAATCTGATTAAAGAAACAATTAGGTTTCCAAAAATATGAGATTGAGTTGGCATCTAAAAATACAGAGAAATTGGAAACCAGCTAAAGGATGCTATATGGGGATCAATTTCCTCATTCAGGAAGACCATCTCTTTGAATGAAAACTTATCTGGCTCCATATTGATCACCAAAAGGGAGAATTAAGTTTACACATTTAGTTATTATGATTTCAAAAGCGTCCACATAAGTGAGGGTTGTTTCCACACTTTAGAAACTCTGTCCAAATGGCAGAGGAGTGCTTTGTGGGCCTTGAGAAGGCAGAGCCAAAGCGACTGCAGGAACAGCCCTCCCGACTGAAAGCTTGCCATCAGCAGCAATCCGCTGTGCCATTCAGGAAGCCCTTTGCAATGGAAGGTCTTAATTCCTTAGGTCTTTTCTCAAACCTGACTTTCTAAAGGCTGCCATAGCCTTTTCTTCCTCCACCTGACCCAAATGAAAACAGCAATAAATATCAGCAGAATTTCCACACCGGGAGGCTCCCATTGTAAAAGGGAGGATTCTGGCACCCAAGTTCCTGTTTTGGGGATGAAGGTGTGGGGGCGGCGGGAAGCAGTGCTGAGAAAATCACAGAGCCCGTTCCCCACGTGGCTGCAGCTTGTCAACAGCGCTCCAAGGACCACCTCAGGAATAAATCCTGCAAAATCATGTGCAGAAGGATTTTTGTTTCTTTACAGAGGAAGCAGAGGGGAGGGGAAGTGAAAGAACTAACATTGAGTGCACACAGGGAGCTTTAAAGAAATATCATTGCCTGTGTTCCACCTCCACAGGTTCTGGTTTAATTGATTTGGAGATGGTCCCAGGCATGGGAGTATTTTAAAAAGTGCCTTCAGTTTGAGTATCAAAATAAATAATTGTAGTACTGGATTATAAAACCCATAAAATAAAATAAATGTCCATGAGTCCATGATGATTTCAATAAATAACTGAATCTATAAATAAATGAGGAAGAAGAAACAGCGTTTCTTCTTACAGAAGATTTCCAATTAATAAATCTAGAGAGAATGAGGGAATAGAGAAATCACCACTCGAACAGCCCCATAATTGTTGCAGGCAAGGTGCTCAGATGAATGAAACATTAGTGGGGAAATAAGATGAAGAGAAATAGGTTATTTGCATGAAGTATCTCCCCCAAGATATTTATTAATGACAAAGGGAAAGATAATAACTTCACAGTGAGTAAACCCAGCAGATGCCACCTCAGCCAAGTGATTAAGGTGAACATTGCCAGTAATAAGACATCTGATTCCTTCATGAAGATAGAAAAGAAAAAAAAAAAGACCTTTGACATCATGTGCCTGTTGACATGGGACGCTGGGAAGGGCTTACTGCTCTCACTTACCCTCCCTGGGAATGCATACCCTCAATCCAATCATGAGAAAACATCACACAGATTCAAAGTGAGGGGCCTCCGACACTAATGTCCAGATTTTGTAAAGCCATGAAAGATAAGGAAAGGCTGAAAAACTGTCACAGATAAGGGGAGAGCGAGGAGACAGGATAACTAAACGCAAAGGGATCCATCCTGGAGGAGATCAAGGGCATCAGCAGGAAAACTCGTGAGATCTCAACAAGGTTCAGGTAAGAGTTTTGTATGGGTGTTAATTTCTTAGTATCGATAATTATGCAAAATGTTAACATTAGGGGAAGCTGGGCGAAGGGTATGCAAGAATTCTCTGTGCTATGACTGCAACTTTTTTGGTACATTTAAAACTTTTTCAGAACAAAAAATTTAAAAAACAGTAACGTTAAAAAGTGCCTTAGGAGATTATAATATGCAGCTAGGATGAAGATGGGTGATTTAGTTAAGTACCTCCTAGGCTTTGGTGCTTCACTTACATTGTCTCTTTCACTTCTTCATCAGGCAAGTAAGTAAATATAAGGTAAGTATCACTGCTCCATTTGCTGAGTGAGCCTCTGGCACACAGGTGGTGTGCAGTGCCTGGCTTTAAGCACACAGCCTCACTCGTGGGCCATGCGAGAAGCTAGATATGACCATTTCAGCCCAAACCAGAGTGCACAGCACTTCACGTGATTTAATTCTCACAGCGCCCCTGGGAGAGAGGTACTGTTATTTCCCCCATTTTACAGATGACAGAACTCATGCATAGAAAAACTGAAGACTTTCAGGGCTCAGATTTGGACCAAAGCTGTACTCCTAAGGGTGAGGCTCTGTATTTTGGAAAAACTTCTGCTCCATCGGGTGGATGTCTGTACCAAGGACACCCCAGGTTCCTATTGGAACATGGTTTGGAACAACTCTGTCCTGGCTGCATCCTCCCAGCACCTCCCAGCCTTGGGCTCATTTACAATCATGTTCACTAATATTAATGGTAACAGGAGTTTGTAATGTCCCATTTCTGAATCTTCTAAAGCTAAGCTGTAACTGGAGGAAACCTTATACCGTATTAGCAGGCATGGAAAAATACTTTCATTTCTGGGCATGATCTGGATCAACCGTGATCTGTTGGTTTGGGCTGAGCTATCTACAAGGCTACAAGTGACCCAAGGAGAGAACGGTGGCTTTGCCTCCCTCTAGAGCTCTCAGACACTCTCTAAACACACTTCTATGCTTGGCATGGTACCTGGCATACAGTAGATAGTTAGGAAATGCTTGAGGAATAGAACCGAATCAACAGCTGTCAAGGGTCTAGGGTGTTCTGAAACTGGCTCGCACTGGGGGCCTTTAGAGACACTATGTAGCATTCAGAAGAAAATGTTCCTATAGCAGGAC